GTAGTCAGCACCTCTTTTGTCTCCATTGCATTAGAGAAGGTAGGTGACATTTTTCTTCCATTCAATCTTAAATCAACTGCAATATGAATTCTGCCCCACTATTCCTCCAAAACTGCCCAAGCCTTAGAGTCTAAGATCATTGTCTCTTATTACCAATCAAATCACAAATTAATCTCTCTGCAATAACTGATGCTACAGGCATTCTCCTCTGATGGGAAATAATCACTATTTCTTCTCTTGCCTTTTCTGACCTCATGTTCTTATGATTTTAACTCTAGATCTGTGCCTATCCTTCCCTATTTACTTGACTCAATCTTCTTCCTCAACTAATTTTGTTTTTAAGTCTGCATTCCCCGAGGTGATTCCCTTGGCCTTCACTCCTCATTCAGTATTTGGACTCTCAGAGATTTCATCTATTACTATTCGCCATTCTTAAGCATTGGCACTATTAAAACTTTTATTTCCCAAGCTCAGGATACAAATATCCAACTGTCTAAATAACTACACACACACACACACACCCTATTTATACACATACAACCACACACACCTACATATCCAGCCAACTGCCTACTAAACATCACCTACAAGTTCCACAGACACATTAAAGTCAACATATCCAAAATTCCACTAGCTTTCATAACTTCAAAGTACTTTTCCCTGGAACTATATCTCAGTCAAGAGGATCAACATCCTCCCCATTACCTGGAAGTAATTCTAACCTTGTTTTCCCTTAGCCTCACATGAAATCATATATTATCTTACTGATTTTTACCTTCCAAATTTATATTTCCCACCCTCCCCACTGCCACTGCCTTTCTTCAGGCCTTCATCAATTTCTTATCCTGGTCACACCAGCCTTCATACTTCATATCTACTGCCTCCAGTCTCAACTTCTTTTCACTCTCTTCATAGTAACCTTTCTCAGTTAAAAGCTTAGTGTCACTCCCAGCTTAAAAGCCTTTGGTGGTTCTTCTCCACCTGAGGATGAAGGGTGTAAATTTCTGAGCATGGTAATAACCTATGTATTTAAGGTAATTACCAACTATGTCCATTAATACTTTGGCAATATCTTCCTACAAATCCTGAAAACACCACATTACGTCACAGCTTTATGAACTTACCCAACTATTAGGTTGTTGGGAAAATCACGACATATTTTTCTATGCAAAATATATTATGACTTTTCAGACACCCAGTATTTTCTCTAACTGAAATGCCCTTCTCTTCCTTGTCACAATTCAAATGCCTTAATACTACAGTTTGAATGTATCACCCCAACATTCATATACTGAGATTTGGTTATGACAATAGGAAAGCTGGCAAGAAAATATAATTTGGGAGCAAAACAACCCATTTAATTTGTTATTGCCCCAGGAGTCTAGTTTAATCCTGTTTGTGCACAGGATTAATTCTGAGTTAATTCAATAAGACCAATACTTTCAGAATAAAAGAAATAGTTTTAGGTATCTATCTATGTCTAAATCACTCAGAACTGAAACTAACCCATTTTCCTTTAAGGTCTTAAAAGTAGAAAAGATTCAAAGGTAATCTTGAGTTGTATCGGATGTTCACCTAATTCCCTTGGTCTACTAATGTTTTCTATTTTCTAGTCTATTGAAATCTAGAGAAGGTGTAGGCTCTGTTCTTATAATAATTACCCACATGAATTTTAACATTCAACTTCTCCAGATTTCAGTTTTTTCACTTTTAAAGTTTCTGCTCATGTCCTTGGGACCAGCAGCTGGCATCATGGCTATGTCGCTGGACTCCCACGTAGTGGACCATGGTTCAAGTCCCGGATCCGGTAGCTTAAACTCATGCCGGGCACGTGTGCATGCATGCCCAAGATCCCAAGAGGAGAATGGAGGAGAAGGGATTGTGGTATGGCCATCCCCTCTGGGGGGTGATTTCTTGCTTTCTGTCTCTCTGTCTCTCTCTCTGTCTTTCTGGCAAGCACACATGCCCCTATAGCAAAAACGTCTCCCCCCCTCCAAAAAAAAAAGTTTCTGCTCATGTCTTCATATGTAGACCAGTCCAAAATCTATTTTCCACAGCTTTCCACACTTTTTTCTCTAATATAGATTATAACAGCAAAGTTAGAGACCATTTTCTTCATACTTAAGATTCATTTCAATCAATCTCACAATCAGGAGAGCTGAATATTACTGATGAATCTAATTTAATCTTTTTAATTCACATGAAATGGTCTCATCTAGCATTTTTAATGGATTTTACCAAGAAAATCTGCATTGTACTTAACCACTTAAGATCTCTCAACATAAGTTTTTATTTTAAGAATTATTTGTTTATTTATTCACTCCTTTATTTTAATTTGACCAAAGAGAGACACTGAGAGAGAGAGAAAGTGAAAAATAAGCCACCAGGTCTAAGGCTCAAACCGTGGTTGGCCGTGTGGGAGTGTCCAGTGCCTTAACCACCATACCACCTGCTGGTCCCAAGTTTTGTTTTGTTTTGTTTTTTTAATGATCTGCTAAATTTTGCTATAGAGCATGAGCATTAGCCAGAGAGAAAGAGACAGAAACAGAGAAGGAGTGGGGAAGTGAAAGGTATGTGTGCTCACTGGAGAGAAACACAGAGGGAAAGCAAGGAATCACCCTCACAGGGGATGGCCACACCACAATCCCTTTTCCTCCATTCTCCTCTTGGGATTTTGGGCAGACACACACATACACAATTCCCAGCTTGTTTATAAAGCAGTGGGTCTGACACTTGAACAACAGTGGGCTAGGCAGGAGTCTAGCGCCTTAACCACCACACCACCAGCTTGCCCCAAGCAGTTTTTAAAATAGGAAAATATGGACTAGCCAATGATATGGTGGTTAAGGCAGATCGATAATACATGGCTGACTGCATGGCTTGAGCCCTGGACCCGTAGCTTGGAGAACATGCCCTAAGAGGACAATGGAGGAAAGGGATTGCAGCCTGATCATTACCCCTGGGGATGCTTTCTCACTTTCCCTCTCTCTCTGGTGAGTGTACACATCCTACAACAAAATTTTTAAATACATATGAAAATAACATTTAATAATAAAAATTCACTGTGTGTGTGTGTGTATATATATATGAGAGAAAGAAACAGAACTGGGGAAAAAGGAAACTTTTTCTCAGGTCATGAGGAGGCAGTATTTATAACATAACAATCTATTATCATTAGAAGAATGACAGCCCACATTCTATACAACTCCTTTATTCACTATTACACAACTCTAAACAATCCTTTGGCTCAAAATAATGAGTTATTTGATATTCACAATAACTAAGCTATAGAGGGAAAAAAGAAAAGAAAAAGAAGGAAGAACAAACAGAAGGGAGGAAACAGGAAGCAGGGAGGGAGGCAAAATAATGTCATAACAAAATTATTACAAGATGCTCAGGAGACTGAGGTTTTGAATATTGCTCATATAATCTTCATTAGAATATTCTACAAAAAACAGTTTATACAGTAATAACACCAGAGCTGTAAGTTTTACAAAAATTGTAAACCACAATAATTTCAAAGTATGTAGTCTATAAATCCTGAGTCAAGGTAGATTTTTTTTAAATATAAAAATAACAAAGTGGGGGACCAGCAGATGGCGTAATGGCTACGTCGCTGGACTCCCACATAATTGGCCGCAGTTCGAGTCCTGGACCCGGTGGCTTAAATTCACACCGGGCACATGTGCGTGCGTGCCCAAGATCCCAAAAGGAGAAAGGAGGAGAAGGGATTTCAGCATGGCCATCCCCCCTGGGGGATGATTTCTTGCTTTCTGTCTCTCTTTCTGGTGAGCTCATGCACCCTATAGCAAAACCTCTCAAAAAAAAAGACAAAATGCCCTCTGTATTTATTCACTGTGTTGGTGCTTGCTTTTAATCACATTACATTTTGTATATTACAGTATATGAAGAAGCAAGTATGTTAAAACTTGAGAAAGTGGGAATTCTAACAAGAACAGCATAGAAAGAATTTCTATTATTTGAACAAAGCATTTTACCCTGATTTAACAAAACTGACACTGCAGAATTCAAATAACTTTTTTTCTTAGGTTTTTGCCATAGGGCATGTGCACTCACCAGAGACAGAGA